CTATGGGTTCTCCCCTAGGTGTCCTGTTTGCAAACTTCTACATGGGTACCATCGAGCAAAAAGTCTTAGTCGACATGAACTTGAAACCGGCCATATACTGCAGGTATGTTGACATTTTTACACAGGTACCTGATGTCAGACATCTGCAGGAGCTGAAGGAGGCATTTGAGCAGAGTTCCGTGCTGCGTTTCACTTACGAGACGGAAAAGGATGGGAAGCTGCCTTTTCTAGATGTAACAGTCATGGAAAAGGGCGGAGGTTTCCACACTGCAGTCTACACAAAGGAAACAAACATAGGAATGTGCCTAAATGCCAACAGCGACTGCCCTGACAGGTACAAGAGGAGTGTTGTTAACGCATACGTCGACCGTGCTCTCAGCCACAGCTCAGAATGGAAGCAAGTCGACGAAGAACTCTGTAGGGTAAGGCAGGTTCTAGTCAATAACGGCTTCTCCAATGGTTTCATCGAAGACATCATAAGAAGGAAAGTGAAAAGCCATGCAACCTCCGAAGAGACAACTAACACAACACCTATACCCCCTATTAGACTATTTTACAGGAACTTCTTTTCCACAGCTCATAAAACAGAGGAAAGGGTCCTGAAAGATATTGTTAATAGAAACGTTATCCCTACAGACAAAAATCAGAGGATACAACTGACGATTTACTATAAAACCAGAAAAACGGCCAGCCTACTCATGAGAAACTCTCCAGACACGAAACAGAACGCTTTAAAAGAGACTAACGTCGTCTATGCCTTCAAATAAGCTCCAAAAAACCCAGTATATAGGCAAGACAACAACATCTCTTTCTAGGCGTTTAACGATGCATAAACAACAGGGCTCCATTAAGGAACATATAATCTCTTCCCATAACTAAACCATCGCCAGAGAAATCCTAGTAAACAACACAGAAATCATCGATAGATACAGCGATAGCAGGCGGCTCGACGTTTGCGAGGCACTACACATCAAGAAGTCAACACCAGCAATCAACAGCCAATTATTGCACAACTATATTCTACCCACCTCAAGACTCCGCTCCAATATAGAAGCATCAAGAAATATGGACCAATAGGCTTTCTACAAACACTTCTATTCAATATCCATTGTTTCGTGTTCTGTCTTGTGTTGATACTTTTAATACCCTATTAATATCCTCTAATGCCACATCATCCTTCCCACCTTACTCAAATGTAATGCCACATCACCCTTCCCACCTCACTCAAATGTAGATATAAAATCAGGGAAACGCAAGTTCTAATCAGTTGTGTATTTGTGAAGTCTTTGAAAATGTAATAAGTTTTACGAAACGCGCCCGTGTCGCGTCAGACTAGAAATAAAAATGAATTTTGGAGAAGTGATTTTTGATTTACCTCCAACAGTGAAGCATAATGTACGAAAGATTGAGAAAATTCGTGTTAGAATTATTAATCTTACTTTTTCGGTCATATTTAATAAAATATGTCTACAGGAAAGACTGCTACCAAAATATACTAATATATATATATATATATATATATGCAATTGACGATCACAAAACACTGATCATTTTATGCGGAAAATCCACAGAGAAATATGAAATGAGGTGAACGTTTCGGCTTTGTTAAAGCCTTTGTCAACACCAGACTGACAAAGGAGAAGGGAGAAGGGGGGAAGATATATAGGCCGACACCTGACCACCCCATCCCAAGGGTTGGTCAGGTGTAATTAACCAAAAACAGGTATAGCTTAGCTTAGAATGGTCAAAGAGGATTAAGCGGTCAGAGAATAAGGATGAAAGATTAAAGAAAAGCCTCATGAACACACAATATATGAATATACAATTATAATGAGACATTGTAAGCCTCTCTATCAGAGTTGTTTCTTAAACTGTTGTGCAATATTATAACTTAAAAATGGATCAAGTTTGTACATTCCAGTACTAACATTAAGAAGATTTGGACACTGACTGATTAGAGCAGACTCAATCAAATTCCGTTCCACGAAATCCCCACAATTGGTAATGCTTTTTGCCCCATTCCAGTTAATATTGTGATCGCATAAACTCGTATGTAGATACAATGCATACAATGTCAGTCTGGTGTTGACAAAGGCTTTAACAAAGCCGAAACGTTCACCTCATTTCATATTTCTCTGTGGATTTTCCGCATATATATATATATATATATATATATATATATATATAATATATATATATATATATTATATATATATATATATATATATATATATATATGTCGTACCTAGTAGCCAGAACGCACTTCTCAGCCTACTATGCAAGGCCCGATTTGCCTAATAAGCCAAGTTTTATTGAAATAATATATTTCTATAATTTTTCTCTTACGAAATGATAAAGCTACCCATTTCATTAAGTATGAGGTCAATTTTTTTTTGGAGTTAAAATTAACGTAGATATATGACCGAACCTAACCAACCCTACCTAACCTAACCTAACCTATCTCTATATGGTTAGGTTAGGTTAGGTAGCCGAAAAAGTTAGGTTAGGTTAGGTTAGGTAGGTTGGGTAGTCGAAAAACAACTAATTCATGAAAACTTGGATTATTAGGCAAATCGGGCCTTGCATAGTAGGCTGACAAGTGCGTTTTGGCTACTAGGTACGACATATATATATATATATAAACAACGCAGAGCGTCGATGCTGCGCGATGCCATTTTATATTTATTTGGTTTATAACGGGAAATAACATTTCTTTATGTGATTATCTTCCTACTTTGCTAAGACTCATCGAGAACAAGTTCCTAAAAGCTGAAGGTTTTCTAATAAGGGAGAACTATTAAAACACTTTGTGAAGAAAAGTCCAAAGTTCCTCAGGCATGAGTGGTGAGGAAATTTTTACTTGCGTTTAATTCAACTCATCATCAGAGGACAGTTGGCCCCCTCGAGCCTCGCTCATTTCCGCTTCCTCATATTCTTATTGTATTTTCTTCCTTTCTGCCTCTCTGCACCTCATCCATTTTATCCACCTCTCATAGACCCAACTCTTTCCCACTCCCAATGAGTCCTTAGACTCTTTTTTTTCTTCTTTTCGCCTTTCTCTGAAGTTTAAAACCTCATGAGTGTCTTCTGTCAGTCCCTCACTCTTCCCAACTAACATTTAGATAACAACAGAAATAAGCAGATTGTTCACAATAGCAGTAGTGGTCCTGACGTGAAAAGAAAGTGTTTGCATTCTCTCTCTCTCTCTCTCTCTTCTCTCTCTCTCTCTCTCTCTCTCTCTCTCTCTCTCTCCTCTCATCTCTCTCTCTCTCTCTCTCTCTCTCTCTCTCTCTTCTCTCTCTCTCTCTCTCTCTGTCTCCTTCTCTCTCTCTCTCTCGCTGTCTCTCTGTCTCTCTCTCTCTCTGTCTCTCGTCTCTCTGTCCTCTCTCTCTCTCTATCTCTCTCTCTCTCTCTCTCTCTCTCATCTCTCTCTCTCTCTCTCTCTCTCGCTCTCTCTCTCTCTCCCTCTCTCTCTCTCTCTCTCTCTCGTCTATCTCTCTCTCTCTCTCTCTCTCTCTCCCTAATGCCATGTCGAGTCTGTTGATACAGATGGACAAGTATGTTGCTTTCACTGCCTTTTCTTCTCTTACGTCATTCCATCATAATTTATCCTCCTGGTAAGAAAGTAGGTTTGGCCACTATGTGAACCATCGTACATACCCAAACGTAATAACCGATTTGAAAGAAGAATTATGCCTATTCACTTCGAAGAGTTCAAAGACAAAAAAGGTAAATATCAATGTTAAATATTCCTAGGCCTAGCATAGTACATGTATGTACTATATTAGGCCCCAGATAGCCCGTGTTAGGCTAAGACGGTTAGGTTAAGTTTTTTATTTTAACATCAATTCAACATTTGTGGTTTGTCTAAATGCAATAGTTCAGATTTTCACCTTCTAGTCGCCTTTCGCGTCAATATATGTTCGAGTGTTCTCATCAGTACTGTAAATATTACCTAAACAGGAGGATGGGTTGTTCCAATCACAAAGAATTAAGTATATTTCCTATTTTTTATCAGTCCTTTGATTCGTATTATGTCTGATATTCACATTTTCCCATTTTAAAGTGCATATTTTTTTTCTGTGTGCGTCTGTTGCTGTGTGTGCGTGTGTGTGTGTGTTTATATGTGCTGGTGTCTGCATATACGTGTGTATTCAACTAATTGTGCTTGTTGGGGTTAAGCTTCAGTTCTTTGAACGTACGTGTGTGTGTGTGTGTGTGTGTGTGTGTGTGTGTGTGTGTGTGTGTGTGTGTGTGTGTGTGTGTGTGTGTGTGTGTGTGTGTGTGGTGTGTGTGTGTGTGTGTGTGTGTGTGTTTGCTTGTATTTGTCTGAGTATGTGTATTTGTGTACCCACCTAGTTGTATATACTGGGTCCTGCCCATGCGCTGCAATTTCGATCAGTGTTATTTCAATCCACTTAAACTCATATGTCTTTTCCTCTCATATATAAATAATCAATGTGTTTTTCGAACTGGCTTCGATGGGTTTCTTCAACGTGTCCCTTACACTCCTTGGTAATTCTTAGACTGTAAACGGATGTACAGACATATCTGTAAGTCTCTGTTACCAGTTTCTAGCTATGCTTTATCGTTCTTCTGTTGCACAAATCCGCAAGTATCTTGTATGGTGTTATTATGTCAACCTTATACATTCTTTTCTCCAATGCAGTGAGGTTTATTTTTCTCAATTTATGCTTTAGTCCAATGGTTTTGATAATGATCAGTTCCCGTTCAGATTGTGAATCCTCTTTTGAATGACATATGTCGTTACCATGTCTTCTTTGGCCTTTTCTACATTTATTGTTGTGAGGTCAAATTTCCTTACTCTTTTCTACTAATCTACTACTGTATTTTGCAATTGGTTTTATCTCCGGGGCTGCACAATCACTGATGAGTCTTCCTTAGGTTGCGTAAAATATGTTGTATGACTATTAACACTTTTACGATACATTGACATATACAATAAAACAAAAAAAGTAATTTACTTTATTTTCTTCCAGGATGAGAAGAATCAGATCCTTACAACGAACGTCTGGCTTAATTTTGTGAGTATATTTTAAACATCTTTGCCAAATATGAACTGTAATTTTTATTATACGATTTCCTCATATTATAGTTTCCCAAATTAAATGTTTAGAGTTAATGCGAAGAATACAAAACATTCTTATGTTCACCATAAGGTATAAAAACATGGAATCTCTCTCTCGACACATTAAGATGCTCAACCATAATTAAATCTTAATAAATCCCAAATCTGTGTTTATTTCTGCAAACTGGAAAGTTTCATCAAAACTCTTCTTCCTGATGAATACCATAATATCGCTGATAAAAATAATCAGAGCGAATCTCATGTTCGCCCAAATACTTCTATAAAAACGTATATAATTTGAAATTAAAATTCATGTTAGTGAGTACTCCAGCTATATCCAGTATTACTTCTGTTTTTTACATATTAGAAGAAATTTTAAATATTTTTTAATATAATATGTTGGTGCTATGAGCCCGTGGTTCACTAGCCTCAGCATCCCTGGCGGCTGTGAGAGAGTGGTTCACTAGCCTCAGCATCCCTGGCGGCTGTGAGAGAGTGGTTCACTACCCTCAGCATCCCTGGCGGCTGTGATAGAATGGTTCACTAGCCTCAGCATCCCTGACGACTGTGATAGTGATTCACATTCTCCAAAATCCCAAATTTTGGGGACATCCCCAAAATCCTCATGACCCAGCATCCTTGACAAGTGTAAGCAAAATCAAACAAGATCCTCGTTTAAAAAAATGCTAGAGTCTAGAGAACATAGCACGTAAGTGAAGCCATTGGTCAGTCAATCAAAATTTTCCTTCATGGTAGAAAGACATTTGTGCCAAAGTGAGCTGCTCTCATCCAAAATACTGTCATATAAGCAGCTCCTATTATACCTATTCAGAGACAATTTTTAAGACTGTGTAATGTCTTTAAATCCTGAGGTCCAGAAAACTCAAAATAAAAGACATTGTTGAAGCATTTTCAACATCTCCATCCTGTCCGGTATGAACCTCCAGTGAGGAACTTGAATGTTAATTGTGAATCTTCAATGTTGGCCTCTTATCAAGACCTGCAATGTTGAGGACCTGAGTTGAGAACACCGGTACATATGTCCGGTAAGGACCTCCTAGTGAATATGTCCGGTGAGGACCTCTAGTGAGGATTTCCTCTAAGAACTTCCTGTTTGATCCCATAAAGACCACCGGTTAGTACGTCCAGTAAGGATTTTTACGTCCGGGGTAAAAACAATTCGCAAGAGGTCAATTATATGTTAATAAGCAGAACATGCCTCCCAGGGAAGCTGAATAATTGAAGAGACTGAGGCAATATGAGACTTTAAAGACCAAATAGCATCTCTAGTTTTGAGATAAAGTTACCTGGCATTTTTTCAAAGGATTTCAAGCACAATGCACTTTAAACAATATCCCAATTACCCGAATTTTTGGCTGTCGGGTTTGTGATACCATCCAGATTACTTTTCAACTCATGCGAACCACTGGTTATTATATGTATATATATATATATATATATATATATATATATATATATATATATATATATATATATATATATATATATATATATATATATATATATATATATATATATATGTCGTACCTAGTAGCCAGAACTCACTTCTCAGCCTACTATTCAAGGCCCGATTTGCCTAATAAGCCAAGTTTTCCTGAATTAATATATTTACTATAATTTTTTTTCTTATGAAATGATAAAGCAACCCTTTTCTCTATGTATGAGGTCAATTTTTTTTTATTGGAGTGGTAAAATTAACGTAGATATATGACCGAACCTAACCAACCCTACCTAACCTAACCTAACTTGCTATATTTATAGGTAAGGTTAGGTTAGGTAGCCAAAAAAAGCTAGGTTAGGTTAGGTTAGGTAGGTTAGGTAGACGAAAAAAAAACATTAATTCATGAAAACTGGGCTTATTAGGCAAATCGGGCCTTGAATAGTAGGCTGAGAAGTGCGTTCTGGCTATTAGGTACGACATATATATATTATATATATATATATATATATATATATATATATATATATATATGATCTAAGAAATGATATTTGAATCTAAGTTTGTTCAAAAACAAACATGAAGCTGAGCAAAGTGTAATAAATCAGTGTTCCAGAGGTGCATAAAGCAGCCAAAACTGCATATTTATGTAATTGTCAGAGAATATGACAGTGTAGCCACAGAGGCGAAATATGCGTCAGGAAATCTGATTTCTTTAACATGTTACTCAACGACAGCTGCCCTACAAACCATTAGAAGGGTTCACGGCCCTTCCTTCCCTTCTCACCCCTTCATCTCACCCCTTCTCACCCCTCTCACCCCCCTCACGTCCATCTCATCTACCCCTCTTCTCTATACTCCTACTTCCATCTTCTCTCCTCTCCCCAAAAGGGCAAACGTATTATTATCTCTCATAGATTTAGATTGCTTAGTAAATTGTGTATATTTTTGCATAACCAAAATATTCAGACTATTAGCAAATAAAAGGAGTGAATAAATGATAAAATTAAATTGATTTTTGTGAATAAATTCATTGCCGGAAAGAACATTTAAATGTATTAGTTATAGCGCGCCAAATTGGAATTGATTATATTATTAAGTCCATTAGTTAAGTTCAACACAAGTAAAAAATTAGTACACATATAACCTACTTAACTTTATGTGTTGCTATTAACAACTAAGACGACAAGCAGATTGGCATTAAGATTAAATTTATGTTAAAACCTTTGCGGATGCATCAGCCATTGGGACATATTTTCTTGGCGTTTATAGAGCTCATTGTGTACATATACACCCAATTGTTGGCATTAATTTAACGACGTTAGCTTGTATAACAGATCTAGTCTCCAGGATAATTGTCAATTTGCATACTGAACACCTACGTGAATCCAGATACTCCCCATTACATCATATTCAGTTCCAGCTCCGCGAAACGTGAACTAGTCTGCTAGATGCTCATAAGTACTAAAGAATTTAATAAATGTCTTGGAAAAAAGGCTTAATATTTGGAAAAATAAATGGTTTTGTTCACTTTTTTCTCGCTATCCTTTCGATTTTTTTTAAGCTTCATCCTCTAAGGGACCTGACAGGTGAGTGGACAGCACTCGGGATTCGTAGTCCTGAGGTTCCGGGTTCGATCCCCGGTGGAGGCGGAAACAAATGTATAGGGTTTTTTTCACCCTGATGATCCTATTCACCTATCAGTAAATAGGTACCTGGGAGTTAAACAGCTGCTACGGGCTGCTTCCTATGGAAGTGGGTAATAAAACAGGAGACCTGGTAGAGGATCGGGCCGCAGGGACGCTAAGCCCCGAAATTGAATAACCTCAAGATAACCTCAAGATAACCCTCCTCACCCCTCTACTGCTTCTCCCACTTTCTCCCCTCTTCCCTTCTCTAGTTCCACCCTCCTTGTACTTTTCTTCTTTGCACCTATTTTCGTTTCCCGATCTCCCTGTCCACTTTTTGACCTTATTTCCTTCTCTTCTGTTTCTCTCTTCCGTTTCCATCCCTCTCTTCCATCTCACGTCCTACATCGCTTTCCCTCTATCTCTTCCTTCATTTTTCCCATTCCACCAGCTCTCCCTCCTTATCTCTCATTCCCCCATTCCTCCATGTACCTTTCCCATTACATCTTTCCTCCCACTCTCCATCCCATTCTTCAAGTACCCGCTTCTCTCTTCTCTTCCCCATCCTATCCCTTTGACTTCGTCCTTCTCTGTCTCTGTCTCTCTCTGTCTCTGTCTCTGTCTCTCTCTCTGTCTCTCTCTCTCTCTCTCTCTCTCTCTCTCTCTCTCTCTCTCTCTCTCTCTCTCTCTCTCTCTCTCTCTCTCTCTCTCTCTCTCTCTCTCTCTCTCTCTCTCTCTCTCTCGTCTTCCCCCTTTCTTCTTCAATATCATTCTAATTTTCCACTTCGCATATATCTGTTTCATCAACAAACAATCCACAAACTCTATGGTGAAAAACAATATAATCAAAGATTTTGGGTGTATAATCTGACCTCCAACCTCAATCAGACAAAGGTTGTTCTGAAACGAAGAGAATTGAATTAAACGAGTAGAAGGTCCAACGAAGCCTGTATTTATCAAGAAAACACTATATCCTTCAAGGTGTATAAGAATGCATAAACAACCAGTCTCCTCTAATGAGCACATAATTTCTGCAAACAACAAGATCACCACCAAAGATATCCTAACCAATAACTTCTAATTAATTGACAGTTACAACGACAATTGAAGTTTAGTCATAGATGAAGCACGACATATTAAACAGTCTGAACGTAATATTTATCAGCTATTTCACGCTCATATACAATTGACAATACACAATACAATGACCGAATAAATAACACATATAACACTCAGGCGACATATCATAAAATTGATGAGCTGCAGAAGGATTATTGCCTCATAGATCTTAATTCACCTCATCCTGATTGGTTATATACGCGGTTGCCACGGCTAATTTGTCCATTTACGAGCTATTCATGCCCTTGCCACCTCTAGTGTTGGCTTAATCTTCAACAACAGGGTAATTTGTGTTCACTTTTACCCTCCAGACGAAAATGTATATCTTCTCTATGCTTCATATGTTCTTTTTTACTTTTAAAAAAGTTTAGAAATTAACTTCAACTAGAGAAATTTAAAAATTAACTTCAACTAGAGAAATTTAAAAATTAACTTCAACTAGAGAAATTTAAAAATTAACTTCAACTAGAGAAATTTAAAAATTAACTTCAACTAGAGAAATTTAAAAATTAACTTCAACTAGAGAAATTTAAAAATTAACTTCAACTAGAGAAATTTAAAAATCAACTTCTCAAAATTCATTTACTGTTTTCTCACTTCAAGAGATGCGTTTCGTTGACTTTGTCAACATGTTCAAAGGCAGAGTAGAAGTGAATACTTTTTACCGAGAGCAACCTAATTATACAATACTTTCTACCTAGTTATATTACCAAGAGTGAGGTGAGAGTAAAGTGTCAAATAGGCCCACTGCATCTTAACTGGGTGACTGTTGATAATTTTTTTAATTTGTTTGATGTGAAACCGATGGCTTATCTCCTGTTGCCGTTTTATGTATCAATTACTTCGGTGTTTTATCGGAGTTGATTGACAACAACTTACTGACAGGGTTCTTTTGGTCTCGTTGTGAATTTACAACAACGAATTCATTGGTCATAGTGTTTTATGAATGGTTTCAATAAAACTTACAGAGTGACCCTTGAATGGCAAGACAGAAAAAAATACAACATAATGGCAGGGTCTTATTATTGCAGAAATAGAAGTAACACAACTTAATTACATTCCCTTGTATTGCAGGAATGGACAGACCACAACCTGATGTGGAATGAGTCGGACTACGGAGGTGTGGCTGATCTAAGAATTCCACCTAAATTCTTGTGGACGCCCGACGTCCTTATGTACAACAGGTGAGATATAGTTGGTGTGAGGGTGTGTGAGGGGGCGGAGATTGTAAGTTTCGAGGTTGTAAGATTGGAAGATGTGAGGGTGGTGGGTCTTGCTAATGGGATTTAAGGGGTGTGGCGAATGGCTGTTAAGGGTATGGGAAATTTTGGTCAAAGGCTCGACTGTGTTGCAAGTGGTGGTTAAGGGTTTGACGAGGAGCGGTCAAAGGTGTCGCAAGTAGTGATCTATATACGGTGGCGAGTACCGTGATCAAGAGCAGTGATCTGGATAGTACTAGCCAAGGGTGTGACACGAAACATTACAGGGTGTGGCAAGTAGAAGTCAAGATTTTCCCTCCAGCGTATTTAGACTATAAACCCCCAGTCTATCACCATATATAAATCAATAAATTTGTCCTTTTGTTTAGGAATCCATCGACTCAGCTATCTGCCATGTTATCTATCCAAGTGCTGGACAGCACTCTGTCATTCCAGCTAATGCACTTTGAGATTTGATGCAGTCCTTAATGCATTCTCCATCTCGCGTTGCAGACATTATGCATTCTCTTCCCCCATCCTTCCTCTTTTTGTCAGTATCCTTTTCAGAGTTTATTTAGGGAAATCTCGAGGAATTTTCAATCTTTGAGTATAACCTCAACATTAATTTAACATCTGTATAATATTAGTAATAATAATAGAAAATAAGCACAAATAATAAGAAGAACAAGAACAAGAATTAATGTTAATTTCATTATTATTATTATTAATATTATTATTATTATTATTATTAGTAGTAGTAGTAGTAGTATCAATATAATTATTATTACTTATAATTATAATTAATATTAATAATAAGAAAATCATCGGAACAAAGGTGGGATTAAGCAATCCTCTTGGTGAAGGCTACACGCACGCCACATCCCTGAGCCACACCCCTGAGCCACACCCCTCAGCCACACCCCTCAGCCACACCCCTGAGAAAGGCCACCCTGCAGAAGCTAGCCAACCTTTGTCACTAGTGTGTCTTCTACGAACCCTTTGGGCCCCCTCACTTGTTGTCACAACCAATCTTTACCCAACAGCCCCGCAAAGTACCTCAAAGTTATGAAAGTGTTTATTAATTATCTGTTTATCAAGGAAGATGCTACTGTCTGGGATGTCATGCTTCATGAAATATCACTGTTGTGAGAGAGGTTTGTCTAGGTAACAATATGTTTCTTACGACCCCTGAAGTCAGATCTAAGAGCAGCTAGTAGCCCTACAGTAGCCCAACAGTAGGTAAACAGTAGCCCAACTTCGGAACGATCCGAATTATAGGATCCGTGGTCTGACGCCTATAATATCGTAGTCACCCCTCAACCAACAACAACAAAACCTGTCGAAAAGTATCTATAGTGCTCTTCAAGCACTTCAAATATTTTTTTCGAATATTATATATAATACTTTCAATGATAAATCTAACAATGTTTCACGAGGGGCGAGAGGAGTCACAAGATTTTCCAAAATTTCTGTGGTTACGTTGGCAATAGAATGTCACACTTTTCATTTAGGCTAAGGTTCAGTTACGTTTATTGAGGCAATAAGAGAGAGACATCACCTAAGGATACAGTAGATTTGGCTAGTTCTACCCTCCAACACCTTTCATGACATTATCTCTATTCTTGAATATTGATATGGGTAATGTTTTCTTCAACTACACAAAAACGAAGTATTGCTTTTCCATCTAGCTTGACATGATGCTTGTTAGGCTAACTGGGGTCCCTAAAGCTAACGATTGACCATCTCAAGGATATGAGTAATATCATAAGACTAACTATCAATTATGTATTTAGTGCTTGACGTAGCACCCTAACATAGGGTGTTAGGAAGCCACACACTACACGCCTTGAAAATCGATCTCCAGACCATTTTATTCCACTAAACAGCAAAATAACTAGGACGAAAAATTTGAGAAAACAAGCTCTGAGGAGAGAAATTGCCCTTTCTGAAGAAACTTGCGGAATCACATGAGTCAAAGTGTTTAATTAAAAATAAATGTTTGAAGTCTACAGACGTTCTTCATCAAATTTAATTAAAAACACAATCGTCTCCTCTCTCTCGCGCGCACGCAAATCTCCTAGGGTACCCATTTGGGTCTAGGAGCTTGATAATTCCCTCTGGGGAGAGAGAGGCAGTCAGCTCATTAAGATAAGCCGGATCTTGTCCCACACCAAATTTCAGATTTCATTCCAGTCCCTATATGTCGGCGACAGATATTGAAAAAAGTAAAAAAATTACGAAAAAAACACAGTTCTGAAATTGTTTCACGGATTTGGCCTTTTAATTGATTTTTCTTATTATGTTGCATTAATATGTCAGTCACCAGTCATGCTCCAAAATATATATATATATATATATATATATATATATATATATATATATATATATATAATATATATATATATATATATATATATATATATATATATATATATATATATATATATATATATATATAATATATATAATATATATATATATATATATATACATATATATATATATATATATATATATATATATATATATATATATATATATATTCATATATATATATATATATATATATTATATATATATATAATATATATATCTATATATATATATATATATATATATATATATATATATATATATATATTCACCTTATCCTCGGGTTCATGTCACGCAGCAAGCCTCTTTGTAATCGACAGTTACAGCCACGCTCCGGTGCCAGGTCAGTCCACTACGGGCTCACTATTGCCCGTGGTACTTCGAACTTTTGTTCGGAGTAGCTGCATCTTAAACAACAACAAAAAACTCTTTGTAATCATTTCTTCTCTGCCTCTGACGATGTTCCTAAGAGTTTACGAAACGCAAATCTTAGCGTCTGGCTAAATAAGTCTGTACAAATGATCTTTGGAGACTTCATTTCTTTCAACTTCCTTCTCAAGTGAAGGAAGATGCATAGAAAATAGAGACGAGTCATACTAAAATCATTGATCTCATCTTTTCGGCCCCAATTCAATAATAGAATGCCTCACACTCTTCTCTCAAGAATATATATATAAACACACTTGCCTCAGTCATATAAATAAAACAATATATATTAGATTGTTAGCTCGTCACGAACACATAAAAGTACAATATATTAGCCATTACCATTTCCGATAACCGGATAAGGTTTAATTGAAAAAAGAGTTAATTGGAATAAAATTGGGCCGATATATATAAACAGCATAATTCCCTTTTAAATTAACTTTCATTTGGTATTTCAGTGTTCAAGTACACACACACACGCTCGCGCACACACACACACGCACACACACACACACACACACACACACACACACACACACACACACACACACACACACACACACACACACACACACACACACACACACAACAAATGGACACACACAACACAAATGTTATACACGGACACATATACACACGGTTGAGAGGCGGGACCAAAGAGCCAGAGCTCAACCCCCGCAAACACAAAAGCTAGGTGAGTACAATATATATATATTATATATATATATATATAATATATATATATATATATATATATATATATATATATATATATATATATATATATATATATATATATATATAAATATTTAAGAACAGCTGCAGGGAAACTGGTGAGATTTAAAAAAAATATTGTTAAAGTCAATATAACTCAGAACAGATGATAGGGAGCTTGAAACATCAAATATCCATTAGGCAAGAGAGTCAGAACTTGGAAGCATATGCTCACCAACTTCAAACTATTCGGATGAAGGGGTTTCAAATATGTATGAAGACTAAGTGAAAGAGCCCAAGGAGGATAAATTAAATCTTTTTGTCTTCCTAACTGCTATAATATAAGAACATAAACACTGAGCATCTTTCACCAGGAAGATGCAACTTAGTCGGCCAAAACAGAAAAGGGTAGAGGAGTTTCTGGGGATTGAACAAAATAACTTGCATTTACTTATTATCTGAGAACGACTCGATTATGAGGAAAGAATGAAGGTGAACTGTGTCAGTTCCTTCCAGTAGAAATTTTGTTTATCATGGGAAATCAGAACTTGAAGACTTAGTCCTTAGGCAACATTGAGTGTCTGGGGCAAAGTTAATGTTAGCTTAGTATGGCAATGGAATGTGTCAAGTTCAATACCGGAAAGCACGTATCATACACAAATTAATCTAAAGAGGCCAAATTTAACTTTCCAATTCATAATTAAATTAAATATAAAGTAACCAAGTATAAATATATAACCAGGGGTCGTATACCCCTACCAAGTTTCCATGGTAATCCGGGAGGATTTAATTTATGTCCCCTTCCTTTTATGACTAGTTTCTAATCGTCGGTTGTCCAATGTACTAAATCCTAACCTTTTCTCCTCTGGTATCTAGTGTCTACTACAAATGCTTCTCCCTAATATACACAAATATACAAATATTCCCAACATTAAAACTGAAGCAGCTGTCTGACTCTCTGGTACCTATATATTGTTGATGAATTGTCTCGTCCTGGAATCGAACCCGGGCTGGTAGGAATACAATCGCCAACGAGGTGTGTGTGTGTGTGTGTGTTCACTTAGTTGTATTCACCTAGTTTTGCTTCCTGGGGTTGAGCTCTGCTCTTTCGGCCCACCTCTCAACTGGTAATCAATCAACTGTTGCTTACTACTAACTAATTGTTTTTTCTCTCTCTCACACACACACACACACACACACACACACACACACACACACACACACACACACACACACACACACACACACACACACACACACACATCACACACACAGATTAATTCAAGGTGAGTACACACACACACACACACAGGAAGCAGCCGGTAACAGCTTATGTGTGTGTGTGTGTGTGTGTGTGTGTGTGTGTGTGTGTGTGTGTGTGTGTGTGTGTGTGTGTGTGTGTGTGTGTGTGTGTGTGTGTGTGTGTGTGTGTGTGTGTGTGCTCACCTAGTTGTGCGTGTGTTTTTTATTGT